AGTTATAACTCTCCAGCGATGGGTTTTCCGTTTTGGCTTCGGGTCGCCGCACCGCGCGGCACCGCGATGCACCGCGCAGCTCTGCGTTTCGTTTCAACATTTCTGTGCCGCGAGCCGCACGGTGGTGGACACCGTCGTCGAGGCGGGCGCCGTGGTGGACGCCGCGGCTGTCCAGTCTTCAAAGGATAAATGTTCCAAGACGCGCCGGGCTGGCCCGGGCTGGCCTGGGCTGGCCTGGGCTGGCCTGGGCTGGCCTGGGCTGGCCTGGGCTGGCCTGGGCTGGCCTGGGCTGGCCTGGGCTGGCCTGGGCTGGCCTGGCTGGCCTGGTGGCCTGGGCTGGCCTGGGCTGGCCTGGGCTGGCCTGGGCTGGCCTGGGCTGGCCTGGCTGGCCTGGGCTGGCCTGGGCTGGCCTGGGCTGGCCTGGGCTGGCCTGGGCTGGCCTGGGCTGGCCTGGGCTGGCCTGGGCTGGCCTGGGCTGGCCTGGGCTGGCCTGGGCTGGCCTGGGCTGGCCTGGGCTGGCCTGGGCTGGCCTGGGCTGGCCTGGGCTGGCCTGGGCTCGGCCGTGCCGACTGCCGGGCGGACCATTCAGCGCACTGCCGCGGCCCGCGGGAAAGAAGCATGAAAAGGAAACGCCCCCCTTCCCCCGGTAAAAAAAAATAACTTGGAATTATTCGGAACTTGCGAGCTTGAAGAAACGGGCCGAGTCCGAAACGCGGCGACGCGGCGATTGCGAAATTAGCAGCGCGGCTGATTCGTAACTCGTGAATGTGTCCCTTTGAATCCAGAGGCGGGGCGGGGTGGGGCGGGGCGGGGCCGCGAAAAAAGTATTAGGCTGCTCAAAGGCGCCACTCTGAAAGAGGCGGCGCGGCGATACACGACGGCGGCCAGGCTCAATCCGAGAGTCGCTTTCGTCGCTCTGTCTCTCTCGCGCCGACGCCCCATGAGTGCGAGAGAAACAGAGCGACGAAAACGACTCTCGGAATGAGTGTGCGTGCAGGCCGAGGCGAGGCCGAGGCCCAAAGGCGCCCAAAGGTGATCCCAATTCGATTCCCGCTGCGCGTCAGGCGCCTCGGCAAGCCCTGCCCGGCCCTGCCCTGCCCTGCCCTGCCCGGCCGTCCCTGCCCCTCCACCGCAACGCCCTTCCGGATAGCAACAATATCAGCACCCGGTGCCACCGCCGGCCACTGCTTCACGGAGGACGAGAAGGGTGCGCTGGCCATGCATCAGGACGCCGTCCTCGGCATGATGAATGGGACAAGCCAGGACTGCAGCCCCGCCCCGCCCCGCCCCGCCCCGTACGCGCACCAGCACTATGGGCTTGCATCGGCTCAGCCCCCCTTCACCAGAGCTATGCAGCTCGGCCAGAGTGGCCGCTGTCGGCCGGGGCAGCCGGGGGCGGCCGGGGGCTTTTCCAGGTATCGGTAATTTACGCCCTATCGGCAGCAGCATCCCCTAAAAAGGCTGGTCGGTTCTTTTGTCCGGCGCTTCGCCGCTCGCTTCGTACTCCGGGAAGCGCAGCGCCATGGCAGCGCCGCCAGTCCGTTCGGCCCTCGTCGGCCACCAGCCCCGGGGGGCGGCCCAGAGGGGCGGCCTGCACGCCTCTAACTAACCTGCTGGAAGGTTTTCTTCTTTTCTCTCTCTCCCCTCCGCAGCCAGCGAGCGCGGCGTCGGCGGTGAGGCCGCGTACTCAAAGCAAGCCAGCCCAGTGCGGGCAACAGGTTGACCAGCCGCAACGCCGTGCCGTGCGGGGCCGGGCGGGGCCGGGCGGGCCGAGGCTTGTGTATACTTTGCGCCCTTTCTAGGCCCCCCTTATTCTCGCAGTGTAAATTAGCGACGCCAAGCTCTGCGCCGCAACTGCGCGATCTCAGCCGTCGTGCCGAACCTCGAACCCCGTCGAACCCCAAACCTCCAACTCCGGGATGGACAGCCGACGTCGGACTCGTCCGACGTCCGCAAGCCCAAGTTTGCCTGTCAGGATGAACCCCCGCCCGGCCCGGCCGGGCCGCCCGACGACCGCCTCATTCCGGAGGAGCGCTTCCTCGCTCTGTCTCTCTCGCACCCGTAGGGTGCGCCCCGCTCGCCCCGCGAGTGCGAGAGAGACAAGCGATACTTCTGGCTCGGTGGCTAGCGTCGCTTTGTCCGCGCGTGGCGGGCGGGGCTGGCGGGGCTGGCGGGGCTGGCGGAGTGAAGCCAATGCCGCCTCCGGTCAGCAGACCGAGGCTTGGGATGTAGTGCCGAAGAGGAGCAATCACCGAATTCGAGGGTGGACTGCAGGCTGCCTCTCACTCGCTTGAGTGCGAGGGAGACAGAGTGACGAGAGCGCTGTCCGGAATCAGTCTGCAACCTGGCGGATGAGGCAGGCCCGGCAGGCCCGGCAGGCCCGGCAGGCCGAGGTCCAAGGTGTCGGGGTGAACGCAGTGCGGCCACTGCACTGGGCTAACTAGTTTGCTTTGAAGCCCGGCCGACGCCAACTTGTGCCTGTGTCTCTGTGCAACGCCCCACCCCACCCCGCTCCGCCCCGCCCCGCCACGCCACGCCACGCCACGCCACGCCACGCCACGCCACGCCCCGGAGGCCTATCGCACCCCAATCGGAAACCCGTTTCGGATACAAGGGTTTGGTGGCACGCGCGGCACACGAAGAGCTCTGTGATTGGTTCTTATTCATGCTAGCACTGCTCCAGGCCAAGCAGGGCGGGCAGACAGGCAGGCCGTGCTGCGGAGCGGCCACCGCACAGTGGGTCAGAAGACCGGTGGAGGCGGCCAAAATTGTAGACGCGTTTTGAGCTCCAGAGTCACTAAATGCATTTGCACTCTGGAGCTCAAAACGCGTGTATACTTTTGGCCACCTCCACCGGTCCTCTGGCCCACTGTGCATCGGCAACCTCCAAACTCATTCCTCATCTTTGTTCCCAAGCGGGACCTAAGTGAGCGAACCGGGTGGCAGGCTTTCACAGTGGACGCGCTCACCGCCGGCGGTCTGGCAAGCGGGGAACACGGGACACGGAACGGAACAAATTGATTCCATTTATCTCTCCGCTTTGCCTGGCTTTGCCTGGCTTTGCCTGCGGCTGTAAGCGCGGCCCGGAGGACCCCGATCACTCCGCGGACCGATGTCCGATGTCCGATCTCGCCGGAGAAGAAGATGAAGAAGAAGGAGAAGGAGAAGAAGGAGAAGAAGAAGCCTCCGCGGAGCCGGCAGCCGAAAGCCGGAGCCTTGCTGACTGAGAAGGAGACGGGCGGACTCACCTTGCTGTCGCGGGCTGCAGGGGCTGCAGGGGCTGCAGGGGCTGCAGGCCTGCAGGGGCTGCACTGGGAGGGCAGGGCCCTCGCTGCGGACGAGAAGCACTACGCGACGCGGCGACGTCGCGCCACGGCGCTGCGGCTGGAGGCTGGGCTGGACCGAGGGGGGAGGCTCCGACGCGTTGGCTGGGGCGCCCGGCGGGAGACTGGACGACTCGACGGACTCGACGCCGAGCGCGGAGCAGGGATCGCTCGCTGCGCGGGGCTGGCGCGGCTGGAGTGGATGGCGCGCCGCGTCGGGGGTTCGGGGGCCGCGGGTTCGCGGCAGCACCTCCGCGATAGACGGCAGCAGCGTGCCGCGTGCCGCCGACGCGTGTGCGAGCCGCGTGTCAACCCGGTTTGCTCACCATTTAGATTCCTCTGGCGGAATGCGCGGCGGCCTGGCCCAGGCCTGGCCCAGGCCTGGCCGAGATCAAAGGCCACAAAGAGATATAGGTGGAGGCAGAGGGACGGGGTGCACAGAGATGCAAAGCTGGAGAGAGGAGGGGCGGGGGACACAAAAGAGCCAACGGGTTTAGCTCGCAGTACACGCTGTGCGCGACGCACTGCCCGTCGATGGACAGGACGGCCACCGAGAGCGCGAGTGCCAGTTACTAACACACTCACACCCCTCCACCCCCGCTGTGCTCACTTTAATTAAATTGGCCGCAGGCAACGTATGGTCCGCTCCGCTTCATAATGGCGAACGGCTCGCCCTCCATTCGGGAATAAGGTGGCTGCAGGCTGATTCTGAGCGGAATATCCCACCGGCTTACCTCTCTCGCACACAGGGTGCGCCCAGCGAGTGTGAGGGAGAGAGGGCTGCGTCCGCCTCGGCATGACAGTGCCCTGACAGTCACACACCAGCGCACTGCCGCGGCTCGGGTCACAGCCGGCACAGTCATCCACCCTCCGCCCGCGAGAGGAGAGCGGAAATTCGTCATGAGGAGAAATAAAATAGGTGGGCAGGCTCGGCACCTCCTAGTGGAACCGTGACGGGGCTGACGTGAGTTGCGTGCGACCCCACCAATGGATTGCTCTCCGAACGAGGAATCTATTGGTGGGGTCACGTCACACGTTAGGATTGAGTCCTGTTTCGCGACTCTGGAGCTCAAAACGCTTCGCGTTTTGGCCACCTGCATTGGTCTTCTGACCCACTGTGGAAGCACTTGCAAGAGTTGTGCGGGCTTGCCTACCCACCCGACGCACTTGAGATGCTCTTTGAACTCCAGTCTCGGCACCTCCTAACTTTTTCTTTAACTGTTTGTTGTCTTTTTTTTCTATCCCGCAGATACTTTCAAAGCGAAACCATACATTAGATTCACATTTCTACTAGCTTTGCGACAAACGTGGCAAAAGCAAATCATAAATGGCGCCAATTTTTAAAATGACAGGCAGTGCCTCACTTCTTTTCGACCTTAAATCAAGCACATCTTAGAGGGCATCAGAGGTGAAGTAAGGGATATTAAATTGGACAAAGAAGGTACCTTTAATTTTCTTAAGTGTTTGCTAGTGATTTCCGAGACGACTTCCACTCAAGGAACCACGGCACCGTTTGGTATGTTGCGTATATTTTAGAACGGGACGTTGGTAGTCTGTCGGCGATAGTCACGTGTCACCCAGACCACCTTCACCTCACCACCACTGCAGTAGCCATTGATCGGCTGCTAGTCAAGTATTTCGAGTAGGATTTTACCTTCCCTTCTTTAAACGTGAGTAATTTTGTTCGCTGGACATTGTACACTGCACGAACAGTGTCGAGTGTGAATTGATTGCATTGTGCTTGGCTCTCGGTATCGGTGCCAAGTCTCGCAGTGACTAAGTTTCGGCTCGGGTGCAGCTTTTGCTGAAGACAGAGGTCATTTTGATGTTCCTTTTGCTTGAGTGTAAAATCGTGCGAGCTTATGATATATGGCTTGGGATTCGCACCCATTTTTTTCAACTTTCCGTTCTTGCCTGTTGCCAGCGCCATATGCGCCATGCTTTAGGAGTAGTGAGCGATGTTCCTTTCCTACCACTAGAGGTTATATTCTCAGTCCACTCCTCATCCTAAATTCCAGGGTTGACTGCTGCTGTACAGTGTAGAACGTGCGAACATGACAGGTGTCTGTTATTAACTTGGTGTTTCTGCTTGTCACACAGAAAATGGCTGGTGATCATCCCGACCCCCCAGAAGCTGCCAACATCAAAGGATTCGCCAAATATTACAATTCTGTTACTGAGAAGGGGCGAGCATCGGTAAGTTTATTACTTAGCCTCTTTGCAAGATTGACTTTATCTTGTCTTCCTTTCTCTCATGTCTTTTGTGTTATTTGTTTGTAGGCAGCCAGGATAACTCTAGGTGGCATGGCCCTCCTCTTCCTGTACTTCAAGTTGAAGCCCTCAAGCAAGCCTGCCGCCGCTCAGTGAAAATGTAGTTTAGATTGTAAGATGCTCTATGAGCATGTTAATAACTGTCATGTCATTGCTTAAATGTTGATTTGTTACTCCTTCACGGAAATGTGAGAAGAAAAAAGTGCACTAAAGTCAGAAATTTGTAACATTATTCTTTGTTCATTTTTTATTTATATTCCCTACCAACTAATGAATAATTCATGTCTCCTTTCATTTTTATTTGTATTTAATTTTTAAAATGTACATATTTATAATTTCAACACTATTCTTCATTTAATGGGGTCTTTTCCAGTTGCTCAGCTCGTAATCTATTTTCCCTCCGCCTCTCCCTGTGAGTGGTGTCTTTCTTGATTTCCACTTCAAACCCTGATGTATCAATTCCATTATTTGATGTAGAACTGAGGGGAGATAACATTACATTATCCCGTCTTCCAGATTTCAAATCATCTTCATTTATCTTGTTGCACAGTTCAACATTAGCAGCTAATTGTTCCACATTCCAAGAGTGCTGAAGCAAGGAATGTTCCAATGTAAAAGGTCCATATCGGATGCATTTTATACTGGTACACATTGCTACACTCTTCACTTTGAGTCCAACGGTATAAATTAAATTCAGTAGATACGCTTCTTGCTCGTTCGTACAGGCAATCTCTGCAAAATTCGGATACCATATAACACATACAAATCATGAGAAAACTTCAAACCAGCATAAGTTTTTACCTATGGTGAAAAAGGGTCTCTCAAAATGTACGCATCTCATCCCATAAATAATGGGAAAATATTCACTCTCTGGCCGGAGAAGACCTTGTACCGCAAGGTCATATGCTTCTTGACTTTGAACATCCACGCCTGCATTTCTGTTAAAAACAAAGAGGTGAAAATCGTGTGATAAATTGACTACAAGAGAGAACTATCAAACAGCCATCGGACGACATTTCAAGAAAGAAACACTAACGTGTACATATGGCGTTGATGAGATGCTTGCATTGCTGCTAAAGCTTTGTCAATATGTGGCCTGTAAATTTTAGAAAATGGGGCTCTCTGAATTTTTTTTCCTGTCTTCCAGCAATTATCGGTTGCAATACCTAACTGGCCAGATACATGATAAACTTTTAGAGGTTTAGACGATTCTAGATCCCTTGCTGCTTTTGTTCCACCATTCAAGCCAAGAACTGAAGAACGAAACAATTTATTATAAACATTCAGAGAACTTTGCGATTCCTCACCAAAATAAGTCAAAACCCATACACAGAACCATCTTACCATAAACACCAGATGAGAAGAGACCAAGATAATCGGGGAGGTGCAAGCGTATATCAGTTATTTGATATCGAGGCCCTATAATTAAAGGATGGTCAGAATAATCAGTCTCAATCGTCTCCATCGGAATTCCATAAGAAGCATCATATTGCACAATCTTTCTTGGTTGTCGCACTTTCATCTTATTTAATCCTGGAAATTAGAATGTCACAATTGTATTAGATCCAGATAAGAGTTGTGTTATTCTTGTAATGTGAAATGTACCTGAATGTACCTATAAGCATGACATATTGAGGTTAGAGGGGTTAAAACAACCATTTTCTAAAACAAATTACCTTTGGATATCGTGTGTTTTAGAGAAAAAGATAGAATAGAAGTTGATAAGCCAGATGGTTTGAAGAGACATAGTAATCCATGCAAGTTTCTCCAGTATTTTGAAGCAACCAACGTCTCACACACTGCCATGGTTTGTTTTCGGACGGTTTCCTCTGAGCAGACTACTTTCCTGCCAATAGTCGGCACCTAGAGTCCCATAGCTTTAGGACTCTAGGTGAAGTGCGCGTCCAGCCCAGCCACAGCCAGGTCTAGCGAGCAAGGTTTGCCAGTCAGGTCACAAGGAAAAAGGAATACAACTATTTACATTGTTCATATATTTTTATTTTAATATTGTTTACTATTAATTCATGAAAAAAAAGCTAGTATTTTATTTACACAATAAAACAATAACAGTTCAGTTCCAAGAGAAGAAATCGAAGTATATAGTACATAAAAATATTACACGCACTTGAAACAAATGTACCAAAAACCTCTCATTTAAAAACAAAGAAAACATCACAGTATAGAACTACTGATACAACAAACAAAGAAATGTACAATAAATTCATGGGCAAATATTGACAAACAATTCAATTGGCAGTGTCTGTGGCAAAAGAGCAGGAGGATTGGAGTTGCAGAATAATGATGTTCATGTACTAGATACAGTCACTTACAATTTTGTATAGTGCACGCTCAAAAGAATATGTGATGGTTAATAGTAACTAATTGTTGCTGGTATGATAGATTGAAGTAAACTAGTAATCAACAAGCCTGAAATGAAAAGTTCAATCCACATTACAAATAAAATTTCAAGAATAAGTCAGCAAGATAACAAAATAAGGACTCACTTGGGCCTTGTTGAATCACTTCGTCTTTCTTCATAAGCATGTTGATCATCTTCACGACGCTGACTTCCATATCGTGCTCTAGAGTGATTGTCCTCTCTCCGGTTCCATTCTCCTCTACCAGGTCCACGAGAATGATTGTCTTCTCTGCTTCGATAACTTTCATTTTCATATCTTTTATTTCCCATATCCCTTCGGTTGTAAGTATCAGATCGACTTGGTCCACCATGAGTTTCATCTCTCTTGTAAGAGTTGGAATCATCTCTTCTATAATTCGCTGTAGTATCTCTTCGGTAACCAGAGCCCTCTCTGTAATAGCTGTCATCGTCGCGGCGATAACTACTACTGCTATCATCACGATAATAACTGTCATCCTTTTTAAAAGAGCTTGAATCTTGCCTCCGATAATTTTCTTCTTTTTTAAGGCGGTCCTCTTTTCTTGAATCATCTCTCTGACTTCTCTTGTCATCCATGGTGCTCCGATTGGGAACATCCCTGTGAAAAAAATTATATTGTAGCATTATTGTAATTATATTGTCCCTAAAATAATTCTGATTCTTCAACCTTATACAGAACAAACCATTTGTTGTGCTTTGATTCAGATGCCCTGTTGCGGTCTGGTGACTGGGAATGAGAGCGTCTTGAAGATCGAACAGGAGAACTTTTATCACTTTCAGAATCCGAATCATCAGTGCTCCATTGACTTCGGTCTTCCAAATCACTATCACTGTCATCCCCATCCCTCATTTTATGCCGTTTCTGACGTTCTCTGAAATTAAAAGAACAAATTTCCAACTTACTTTTCTCAAGTTCTCTTAAATGCTACAAGGAAACTAAGTAATACTGTCCTATTTTCCTTTAAAGGTTAATGGGCAAAATAGAGTAATCTATATGTTATATTACAAACCTCCTCCGCATCTTCAGAGCCAATTCACGAAGTTCTTCTTTCCTATCATTCCGCTCTTGCTCAGCTTTTTCCAAACGAGCTTTCTCAGCTTTTTTATCAGCTTTGTCTGTGGAAGACATAATGGAGACAATTGAATTTCCTGAATTTCTGGAGTTACATTGCATAAAGGAGGAAGGGAAAATTTGAAATGCTGACTTACATTGCCTATTAAGAAGGGCCTGCATTTTCTTTTTAAGCCTCTCTTGAGGTGTCATTTTTGTAGAAGTTGGTGTGCAATTGGCACTTGATACCTGAAAATCAGATCAACAATGTCAAAATATTGTAAAAAGTAATTAGTATATATAAAAGACTAAATGGTCTGTAACAACATTTCAGGATTTAAAAAAAAAATAAGGGGAGTTGATTTTTCAAAAAATTGTCAAAAGCAGAAAGTTCTTTGAGAATGGACCCAGCAATAAAACTGTTGTTAAAGTTTCTACACCCTACATTACAGAATCTCTTAAATGGTGTATTATTGTCTAGTTTACAATGTGTTAAAAAAGAACTTTTCAGTTGAATGAGATGGAGTATGAAATTAGTGAATTTGAGTTAAAACTAGCAAACGTATAAATGGCCCAAAAATTAAGATAGCATAAAGAAGATAAAGGCATGAGTGAAAAGAGGCAAATAGATCACGGACAGTTGATCAAACTGGAAAGTAAACAATAATGCCAGATTGGGTCCGTTACATTAAGCATTATTATTTTTAAAAAACCTGTCTCTAAAAGTACAGTTAGGTAGTGGTTCTTACTGACTTTGGCTGCAGGTCGAGAATTACCAGATCCAGACCGATTATTCCTGAAAATAAGACACAAATAAATTACTTGTTCTCCAGAGTACCTCAATCCAAGAAACAAGTACCACACATCAAATCCTATAAAGTAAAGTTCATACTTGTCAAGGGTATGTCCCACTGAAGCCCCTACCCCTCCAGACAGATTAGAAGAGTCCTCAGTATCTGAAGCTTCCAGATCTGATGAGGATGCATCACCCTTGCGTCGACCATAATATCTACAAATAATATCCGATGAAAAATGTGTTAGCATGAACAAAGTACTGGAAAGAAGGGAAAAAATAAAAGGAGGAACTACCTTTGAACTGGTTGCTGAGGTTGAGCCTGTTGAAGTGTCACAGTATTTTTCTTTCCTGCTGGCCTTGGAGATCGTGAATTCCTATAACTACCACTTCGACTTCTCTTTCTGTAAAAGACAATACACCATGAGGAATTTCACTGAAAACGAGATAAGAAGAAAGTATGATTAATACATACCGAGATCTTGATGGACTTCTAGACCTAGATGAGCAGCTTCTATACCTCCTGAAAAATAAATTGGTAAGTAACTTGGAATGTCATTTGACACACAGAATATATTGTTTGAAATTTTCATAGCGTACTTGGTACTATGTGACCTATTTCTAGATCGAGACCTTCTGGAATAATAGCGGCTATCATCAGATGATCCAGAAGAAGACCGTCTGCGGGATCTTGATCTCGATCTCGAACGAGATCGGGAATATGACCTAGATGACCTGGAAGTAGATCTTCTTCTACGCCTGACCTTCGTTCGAGATCTGGATCGAGAGCTAGACCTCGATCTTGACCTGGATTTAGATCTGGAAACGAAAGTAAAGCATTAAACTAACATAATGATTCATTTATTTTAAACAGGTGTAAAAATAACATCAGTAATTTTGGGAGGATTGCACAAGTGATTAATTAAGACAGTTTTTATATAAGGTTAAAAATTGTCAATTTTACTACACAATTATTTTATTTTTTACCTTCTCCTCAACCTCCTTGAAGTAGAGTGATCTGATGACGAAGAATGAGACCTTTTGACTATTCTTTTGATTGGTTCCTTGGTTACTGTCTTATTCCTGGAAAACATATTTATTTGTGACCTTCAAATCTAGAGACAGTTAGTTGACAAAGATTACTCCATTTTTAAACCGTACTCACATTTGCTTGTCTACAGATACTCCCGCTGCACTGCCATCTTCCTCATCACCAAAACAAGTAATGTACTGAATGACACCTGCATTGGCAGGAGATGTTGAGCGGGACCTGCTCTGAGATTTAGACTTTGATCTAGAATTTGGCGACATGCGATATGGATCATAGGTTGGACTTGAACGTGTAGCATAGCTATCAAGACAAAATAAGAAGACAATCAAAGCATGAATTGATGAATAGTGTCTGACAAACACTAAAGAGGAAAATAAAGAAAAATACTTCACCTGGGAGGGCTAATTTTCCGCCCGACAAGTTTCTTTTCACGAAATGCCCGCCTCTCCCTGCGAGATTTTCTACCCTGCAATAAGCATTAGCAAACATGAAGCTTTTACATTTTTTACTATCAACATACACCAAAATATGAAACACACAAAAAAAAAATTATATGAACCAAGCACTTACTGCAAACATTGCCTTTTCCTCTTCCTGTTCTCTGGCTACCTTAAGTGCTTCCTGTTCCTCAAAATCATCAGTCAAAAAGCTAAAAAAGTCATTGCCACTCATGCCATAGCCAAGACCACAACGGTTCATCTCATGAGCTTGCTTTGTATCAATTTTACTTATGTCCAAACACATATCTAAGGATAGAAACTTGAAATCAGAATTTGTTTCAAAACAAATTTAAGCATTAACTCAGGAAATTTAAATTTAAATTAACCAACCAAAGTCAACATCACTATCCTCTTCATCCTCATCAGCATTTTCATCAACCTTGGCATCATCTTTTTCTGACTTTGCAGGAGTGGTAGATATAATGGGGATAGGAGGAGGCAATGCTGGTCCTGCACCATCATCTTCATAGACATATCCAATTGCCGCTCCTGGCACCTTTTTCCCTTTCTTATCAGGATTAGGTGGGGGCTCTTTAGATTGTTGTCCACCGACAGGTCCAAATTGCTCTTCCAAATACAGTTGTCTTAGAAACTTCTCTTCTGGTACTACAAAAACAAAATTTCAAAAGATTAATATTTTTGGCGGTTACTGTGCATTATTTGAAAAATAGCAAGATTATTACCTCCCAAAAATTCATTTTGAACAAGAATGCGATATCGTTCATAGTTAGCTTGGCGTTCTTCAGCTGATACAGAATCATCATCATCGCTTTGGAATGGAGTGATGAAGTCAAGGTGAGCTCGGACATCAAACCTATCAATTAATGTGTCAGTTTGACCCTGCCATGGCATCCTGGGAACAAAAATTCGAGTGAGGTACATTAAAAAATAATCATAAAACAAGGGTGAAAGAATAAGATATAGTCTCCTTACATAATAGCTGGACTGTCTCCAGCAGCTGCAACTGCAGGATCCAAGTGTATCTTACAAGGGCGGCCATGGATCTGAAGAAATTGAGTTGGATCTGCTTTCTGCAAAGAAAAATTGTCAAAAATGTAAAAAATTTAACCAGATAGTACTTTTAGCCATAAGTGACAACTGTAAGACTGACACATACAATCTTTTCATAATAATCTCTTCTTCTTTCAGCCCTTCGATGGTAGTCGACTATCATACCACGAATCTTCTTCTCCTGTTTTCGAGCTTCGTGCCACATCATTTTTGGTACTTTTATTTCTAAAACGAAAAAATACAACCAAAATTAATTTATAATTTGGCTATAGTAGTAAAAAACAGAGTCATTATAGAACACATAACTACTTTTTTTTTTTTTAAGAAACAATGATTAACTGAATGTTAGAACAAAAACCTCAGTAACCTGGCAAATTTTTAACCTTTATGTCCATCTTTCAACCTACACCATAAAAACGGATTCCACACACAATAAGCGAAGCGTTGGGCATAATTTAGAAATTCTAAACTCATTTCAGGGATAAATGCGAAGCTTGTGAATTGTTTCAGAGGTAATTGACGACAAAACAATTATATTTTTTCAATGGTGCAGTTGCCTTGAGACCAAGCACCCTAGGCACGATGGCTCGGCAGTTCGGCTTCGGCGCCGTCACGGCTTGGATCACGCGGAACGCCGAAAAAAACTCTTGAGATGTTGAAAAACCATGAAGATAGTGTACCTGACTACAGCGAGGAACAACTTAACTGCCCAATTGCAGTTATTTTCTCAATTTTCTCCCCTGTCGCAGTCGGCCACTACTGTCGAGCTGTCGCTGCTGCTGCTGCTGCTGCTGCTGCTGAGGAGAGGATCAGGAAGCACATTGCGGTTGAGGTTGGGAGACAGCGACACTCCCACCACCGCCGGCAATCTTTGGCCTAACTCAAATCTCAAGCTTTATCAGCAGCGTGGCCATTTGTCAGTGTACGATGAAAAGTGATAAGCGTATCGAGAGCAAATCATTTCCCAGCTCAGCAATTATTTTCCCACTGATCATCTTTCCCAGTTGATGTGATGATCGTCGATACTCCGTGCGGCCGCGCGGGCACGGTGGCAATACCCCGCGTCTTCCCCCTCCCCCGTGACGTCACTTTACTTTGACTCCGATTTGTAACAATGAGTGGTGTGATGGCGAGTGAGTGAGTAGTGGCAAACAAGCTAGAAGCTGGAGTTCACCTGGACTGCCCGAGACCACCTGTGACACAAGACTCGTCCATGGGACGTTTTCAAGAATGCCTCCCTCCGCCCTTGGCTGTACGAGACGATTGTTAAAAGCCGACGAGTTGGGTGCAAATAGTACCAATGAAAGGATTAAGTGTGTCTTGGTGGGCGACGGAGCCGTGGGAAAAACTTCACTGGTAGTTAGCTACAGCACCAACGGCTTCCCCAGCGAATACATCCCTACGGCTTACGACAATTACAATGGTAATGACTGCTGAATGCATCTATCTGTTCAATTTCTGAGATGAACGTGTCAATTTTTGGTTCGGCGGACAGGTGCCGTAGCCTCAGGTAGCTTACCTCGCAAGGTCACCAAGGAAGGAGCTAATTGGCAATTTCCTCTCTAAGACCCTTGTATTAACCATGCAGAGGAAAACAGGGGAACGGAACTGTCCGCCTAGATCCGGTTTAGAGTCCGCCATCCCCATTTTGTTGTTTGATTTCCCCTATGGCCACTTTGGACCATTGTAAATAAAAGGACCTAACCTACGGTTTTGTCAGCACAGTCCTCCTCTTTCATTCATGTAATCGATTAGAACAGAGTTCTCTCACATTATAAATAAGTGCAGATTACAGAGTTTTAAGTATTATTTTTATGACCATTGTACAAGATTTGTTTTGTCAGAAGATAATGTGTTAGTACAGCTTTCATTGTTTTTCTGTCCACAGTTCTGGTGCAAGTTGATGGGCAACCTATCAGTCTTCAGCTGTGTGACACAGCAGGACAAGTAAGCATCTTGGACTTTTTTCTAATCATTTCAATTCGTTAACATACAGTTTTTCTAAGTTTAATTTTTTTCCTTCTGCAGGATGAGTTTGACCAGATCCGTCCCCTTTGTTATTCCGATACAGATGTTTTCATTGTTTGCTTCAGTGTTGTTTGCCCTACCTCATTTCAAAATGTGAATGAGAAGTGGATACCAGAAATAAAAAGATATTGTCCAGATGCAGCAATCCTCCTGGTGGGAACTCAAAGTGACAGGAGGAGAGATGTGCGCCTTGCTCTTCAACTAGCTCGATATGGACAAACACCAGTAACAGTCAATCAAGCTCGGGATTTAGCACGTCGCTCAGGGGGAGCAACATATGTTGAAACTTCTGCTTTAACTCAGAGAGACTTGAAAGAAGCTTTTGACCAAGCTATTGTTTGCGCTTTAGCCCGTAAAGGAAGAATAAGTGTCAAGGGTTCAACCAAAATCACCTCTTGCCCAGGCAAGAGGTATTCGTTTTGGAAAAAATGGTGTTGTTTCACATGAAATTCCTAATTTCATCAACAAGAATTTTTGTATCATTTGGCCTCTAAAATTGCCTTTCATTAAGTTTGTTTCTAAGTAATTTTATTTGTGCTCCCAGCTGTTACATGCTTTATTCTCTCTTTGTGTTTGTCCATTGTTTTGTTTTCCTTGACAATAATTTTGACCATTGATTCTTTTTTTTACTCAAATGTGTCAATTTCATCTATGACTGACTGGTATTTCTTCCTTTAACCTTTTTTTCGGGCACCGTTGATTATGCCCTCTCTGTTTTCTGACGTGACCTTTTTTACTGATTTTTCTTATCTGCTTTTGTACTTTGTGGTTCTGAGGGTTGTTGGTATAAGTTACCTACATCAGCTATCCACTTTGTTTAAAACTGAAGCTAAATTGTTTTCTTTCGTTAAAAAAAAAGATTTGCTTGTTTGTGTTGCAATGCAAAAGTAAGATGATGTTTTGTTGCTGATAATGTTAACTAGATGTGATAACAGGTCAGGTGTTAGCTGCCTGACAGCTGCAAGTATTCAGCAAACATGTTGCTGAAGAATTCAAGTGCTTCTTCTTTGGTTGTGATATTTGGGTTGATATTTTGGCCTTGTTGTAGCATGTGTTTGTGCTTTATTTCAGCAGTAGCCATGTTAACTTTGTTTATAGCTGACTAAGCTTGTTGGAATTTGTTGTTGGTTTTGATGTTCATGCTAGGGCTTTGTATCTAATCATTCATTTGAAACTCTTACACAGTGGGACCACTTGGAAGGTACATTGTGGCAAATATCTCTGTCCTACTCTTGTTCTTGTTGTGATGTAGTCATCAACTACTTTTGATCTTCCACAAATATTTCATAGAATTATAGACTTTATTAATTACTATTGACATTGACTTTAGTGAAGAGATTGATTGCATTTATCCAGTTTCGTATTCATACTCTTCTGCCACCGAGAAAGAGGGGTGGTAATTCTTCTGCAGTACAGCAAGATATTGCTCCCTTTCATGTTAATTGGTATTATTATTTCCCTTTATGGAAAAAATATGAAGAGGTGTAGTCATGAGATGGGTTGTGACTGTGAATTCATATTTGATTGATAATTCGGTGTAGTGTAGATTAGAATTATAATATTGCTTCCAAAGCATTGTCTTTTCTCTAAACCATTAGTGGGCCACTAAACTGATTCACAGCTATTTTCAAATTTTATGTTCAAGGGTCTTAAGGGTAAAGATTCCTAGTACAAAGTACTACTAAAAATTGTCATTTTTTTTTACCATTGGTTGCTGTGGTTGCTGTTGGAGGCCGGAGGCCTCGGAGGCCTCTTGTCAATTTTTTGGTGTTTTAAATAATATTGATGGTACCTACTTAAGTGGCACTCTATTAGCCTTCCTATTGACTCTGTATTTTTTAACTAGTATTTGTAGTTAGTCATATTTCTCTGTCTTGATTTATACTCGTAGTCTCTATTGATAATTTAATTGTGATATTCAAATCTTTTATTTCTTTTTTTTACTGTGTAATTGTTTGTTCTGTGTTGATTGTTATGACCTTAGCTAGATGCAACACATGACTTTTTTTTCTTCCTATCATGCTTTACTACTCATCTGCTCATAGCCTAGCAATCCAGGTGAGTCATAGGATTTTTATTGTCGTCTTTTCTTCCTAAATTAGCTTATTTGACCAATAGAGGTGTTCAATGAGAACTGGATTTTTTTCTGGCTGCACATTGAGTTTTCCTATACTTCTTCAATACATCACATGTATGCCGTGTTATATTATATGCCATAATTTTATCATGTTTGTTGATAGCATTACCTCAGACTGAAGTGGAAATGCCAGTTGGAAAATTGGCTTTCTGTCATTTCAGTGGTTGTGGCTGAGTTGATTAATAGTTGAATGTTAATACGGTAATCATTTCTTTGCTCAGTATCTCCATCTAATTTTCAAAGGAAAGTTCTGTTGTCTTACTATCATGTTCAGATGTTGTTTCCTATCTATAATTTTTAATGCATGAACTAATTGGAACCAACTTTCCTTTTGACTCCTTTCCTGTAAGATATTCATTGACTGTTTCATAAATGTTGACTCAGCTCTTTTCTATTTTTATGACACCAATCAATTTTTTAAAGGAAGTGGGTATACTTCAAAGAGCAGTTTCTGTCTGTGATTCTACATGTTTGTTACAATTATTTAATGCACATGTTATTGTTGTGTATGATTAATATATGTACATAATAAATGGGCTTTTGTATCAAACCACCACTTATCTTTTATCCTTAATGACCTTATTTACATGGTTAAGAACTACCCAGGAATATAAATGGGTAAGTGACAGTATGGCATCACCAGCCTAGTGATATAAAAGAAAGTATACAAAATCATAACATATAACAGAGTTGAGGTTCTGGACCAAATACAGTTCAATTAGGTGTCTCCTGTGATTTCTTCTCTTCGTCTGAGTCGACTGCCGAGTCATGCTGCTCAAGAACTTGAGCTAGGTGATCTGCTTTTAAAAGTTCCACCAATTCTCCTAATGTCAGAGCTTGTTTGTCTGGGGCGACATATCTCATTATAGGATGGCTGTTGCCGACTGGTGTATCTAAGATGAAGTCATCATCATCAAGGACACTTTGATTTCCATTTGAAAGGAAGTTCATCATCGAAGACTTGTTTCTTTCCTCCAATGACTTGACAATATCCTTTCCCTTTCGCTTGGACTTCAGCCTTTCCAATTTGCTTTCTGGAACAGTAAACAGTACATTCTCAGTAAAACCATAAGCCATATTAAGGCAAATTGAATGGGGCCAGAGTGAAGGGAAGGGCCCGTTTGACAAAACATTGGTCACTCAATAATAAGATGATCTTAGGAATATTAACGTAAATATACTGAATTATACTGAATTTCAAAAGACGACGTACCCAAAGACGCCAGGTATTCCGCTGAATCGGGCAAACGGCTTGGTGGGGCCTCCTCTAGGTTGTCAATGCTGTCAGCAACAAAACTGTCCTCAAAGCACATCGACGAATCCTGCGTGATTTCTTCTACACCAGTTTCCTCCGAGTCCCTCCTCCAAGGGTCTACCACGGTCGACTTCATGATTCTTTGACAGACGATGGAACACAGGAGAAAAGTGTCGGATCAAAAACCTGAACTGACTGACGTTTCGCTTGAATGTTCCAAACAAAACAAGCAGAAGGCAGGAGGCAGGGCAGCAGTATTCGCACCAATGAACTGCGAATAGTCATGACAGAATAGCCACCCTTACGCAGCTAAATTGTTATGATTTCAGTTGGCTTAGAAAAATAAGTAGAATAATTATGAGATTGGAAGACTGAGCTTAGTGTATTTCAAGAATGTTGGTCATTGTTCTTAGCTTCCGAAGCTTCCAATACGAAAGCAGCATTCATCTGTTTCCCTTTTTTATGTTGGCCTAAGTGCTGCCACATTGTTCTTGGGCGCACTCGTTCGGTTTCGGTTATGGCGGCGACCTGTCACAAATACACTCACTCCGTGTTCGGCCACAATTCTGCGACGATGCGGGCATGGGCATCTGCAAGCACAGCGTTGGCAGTGGTGGTGCTCGTGTGCCTCTCTCTGGTCGGGGTCCTGGATGTCCTGGGCGGGGCGTCCGGGGCCGTGGCGTGCGGCAACGGCGGCGAGCTGAGCGAGGACGGTTCGACGTGCAACTGCTTTGACGCCTTCCACGGCCCGGACTGCAACGCCATCAAAGACTTTTGCGAGCACGAGGACGCGTACAACGAGAAGTGCGCCCCGGCGGCGTGCGTGACCGTCTACAGCGGCTTCTACTGCACCCGCTGCAGGAACGAGACCACGCAGGGAATGCACTGCCAGAGAGGTACCGCGGTGACAGTGACAGCCCAATGTCCAAGAGGCAGGGTTTCGGTGACGATTCCTCTCGGGCTGCAGCCATCAACGACTCGACGGCAACTGCCTCCGAGCCGTACTTCGTGTTCCTGCCCAAGGTGGCCCTCTTCGAGGACCTGCCCCTGCTGGTCAGCCTCTCTGAGTTGGGACAGGGCCTCATCGTCAAGGTTCGGGCTCCACTAGGAAGATGGACGAGTTGAGGGCGCGCGTAGTGTCGGAATGAGGAAGCACGCCCGTTCAGGTGCGCTGGGGCGACGGGGTGGTGGACGTGCGGTCGGCAGACGACTTCTTCATCGGCTACCTCGCCGACGAGGTGCCGTCCTTGGGCCTCGACGCCCTGGCCCCGGGGACCCCCGGCTTCGCCGCCATGCCCCGCGGTAAGACACGAATCTAGTCGTGGAGGACGCGCTACAGCTTCACGCTTCTCTCCTACACTCAATCTCTCAGGGCGTCGCTACATGGTCCGCTTCAACCACGGCTTCAACCGCCGGCTCTCGACCAAGGGCACCGTCAGGAACTTCCTGCAGCTCATCAACTACCCGGCCAACCAGAGAGGCGTCGAGATGCAGCACGACTTCGCGCTCAAGGTGGTCCTGCCGCCAGATCAGGACCGCACCGTGGAGCTCAGCCTGCCAGAGCTGTGGGTTCGGTTGTTGAACCTCGTGTATAATTTTTAAAATGGAAAAGAATTGTCAGCCTTTTTCTTGGCTCTATTCAGCGGGTCGAACTTTGGCGCTGACAACGCCATGCCGCACTGGAGCCGCCTGGACACAGTGCAGGTGCTGGGCGAGGCGCAGGACACGGCGACGCTGGGCAGCGCGGTGGGGTACTCCTTCACGTTCAGCCTGGCCCTCCGCATCGGCACCTCGTGTGAGTAGCGACGCGGCACGCGCGGCACCGATCCGCGCAGCGGGCAGCGGGCATGGTCTTGAACCCGCGACTGCCCGCTGCAGCGCAGCTGGACCTGCCGGCGGTGGCCGCGCCCGACATGCGCTTCCTGGCGCCGCCCTACACGCTGCCCATGGGCAAGCACTGCGTCAAGTTCGCGGCGTGGAACGGCACGCGTCTGGTGGAGTTCGTTACGGTGAGCCAAGCGTGGACGTCCTGGTCGTCCTGGCGGGGCAGCGCCTGCACTCCATCGGCAACCTCACCGCTCGGCCTGACACTGACAGGGCTACTTCCTGGTCGTGCCCGCGCCACTGCAAGTGCTACTGCTGGGCGGCACGGCGCGCATCGTGTCGCCACGCTACCCGCTCGTGCTGGACGCCAGCAAGTCCATGGACCTGAACGAGAAGGACCTGCGGCACGTCAAGTTCCAGTGGCGGTGCACCACCACCGGCAGCGGGCCCTGCCCCTTCCACTCCGCCACCGGCAAGCGCGTCATCGTGCCGCCGGGGCTGCTGCGCCACGGCCACAGGTTCGTCGTCGTCCTGGAGGCCAGCCGCCTCTTCCTGGACCCCCAGGTCCTCCGGCAGGCCGTCACCGTGGACGACAACGTGCCCGTCAACGTGGCCATTGTGTGAGTAGTGCCGCGCGTTCGCGTTCCTCGTCGTCCTCTGTCGGCTGCTGCTTCAGCGCCTCGTTGGCCTCGCTGGCCTTGTTGGCGGCAGGTGCGAGCGGAACTGCGGCACCGGCCTGGGCACGCTGGCCTCGGAGCGCGTGTCCCTGCGCGCCGAGTGTTCGGCGGAGTGCCCGCGCCTGTCCTGGAGCGTGGGCAGGGACCCCGACGTCGATCGGAACGCGACGGACGGCGAGGACATCAAGGCCACCCTGTCCGTGGGGTCCGTCGGCAAGCGCTACATCATCGCCCCGCCCACCCTTACGGAGTACCCCTCCTACATCGTCAGTCTGAGCGGTAAGGGACAGGGCTTCTCTGCTGAAGTGCGCGAGGTTCATCGCCGACCCCTAAAACGGAATTCGGGCGAAGTGTCGACGGACAGCGCGTGGGTGCGCGTGAGCACCTTCCAGCTGTCCGTCATTCCGCAGCCCAACCACACGTGCAGCGCGCTGGGCTCCGGCGTCAGGACCACCATCAGGTGCCGCGACAACTCGGACCCGCACTCGCGCTGGGCCGGCTACTCCCTCTACAAGTTCTTCCAGCGGACCGACCAGGGCGGTGAGGCCACTGGGAGACATTCCCGCCACATCAAGTCTCGTCCGAGACCTGCTGATTCTGACCACGGGGACGTGCCCGTCCAGGCCGAGTGCTCATCGGGTACACGTTCTCCGGGGTGGGCGTGGCCCTGGTGTTCATGGACCGGCCGGTGCTCGTCGTGGCCACCATGCCGTGGGGCTCCGAGTGGACCACCGAGCTCCAAGTGTCGGGGGTAAGGGGGCCGCCGGCCGCTTCAGCCCCACGGGGGGTGGTGGTGCCAAACAGCGGACTCTCACTCTCTATCTCGCTCTGTTGCAGGGCAGGCCTTCGACGGCCGGCCTGTCGATCACCATCAAGAGGGCCGAGCTCCGTTACGAGAAAGGGAACGACATGGGTGAATTGATGCCGTTCAAATTTACTGTAACTTATTTTTGCATGGAGTGGACGGGGAGGCGAATGACGTTTCTTCGTGACAGTGGCGACGGTGATGCTCGCCTCGGCGCTCGCCACGGCCCTGCAGAGCGGCACCGCCCCGGCGCAGTCTGACCTGGCCCGCGTGGCGGCGCTGTGCAACCAGTACATCGGCGGCCGGCCGCACGCCGCGCTGTGGTGGCAGTACGCCGAGCTGGCCTTCATGTTGGGGGACCTCGGCGTGCGGGAGGCCGGCACCTTCCTGGACGACCTGACGGAGCAGATGGGCGCCCTGCTGGTGACGGTGTCGAACCAGCTGGTCCAGCTCGCGCGCCGCAAGGAGCCGCCGCCCATCAGCACGGCGGACATCGAGGACCACTTCCGGTAGGGCCGCAGCGCTGCCGCTGGGGCACAGTGCGCCAGAAGACCGGTGGAGGCGCCCAAAACTCTAGACGCGCTTGGAGCCTCAGAGTCGCTAATCAGGACTCGAACCGAACGTGTGGCCCCACCAATGGATTTCTCTCCGAAAGAGGAATCCATTGGTGGGTCACACGTTTGGTTCCGGTCCCGGTCTTCTTCTGGCCTACTGTGAGAGGGCTAGGAGCCGCCCCACTTGGGCAGCTGTACGACGCTGTTTCCGCGCAGGAAGATAACCCGCGTGGTCACGCACATGACGGTGGACGCGGAGAGCGACATGGCCAAGAAGATCCGCAACCTGACCGTCGACGAGGACCTGCTGGAGCCGGACTACCTGCTGTACACCGACCTGCTGCCCGGCCACGTGGACCGCCAGCGCAAGGTGCGAACACCGACTCCAGGGTGTGCCTCTTGGCCAGACCTTCAAGGACTCATGCTCTTTTGGGCGCAGTTCCGCGCGGGGGCGCGCAGCGCCATCAAGACCCTGACCAACGTGGTGAGGGCCGTGCAGTGGCGGCAGCTGCCGGGCATGGCGCCGTTCATGGTGGACGTGGACTCGGGCAGCACGGCGCCGGGCCTGGGCCGCATCACGGTGTGGACCCAGGTCGAGTCCATGGCGGCCATCGCGGAGCGCAGCAACGACACCGCGGCGCTGCCGGACAACTGCAACTTCTACGTGGACCGGGAGAAGGGGCGGCAGCTGGACGCCAAGGCCGACGCGTTCGGCCTGACGGTGGCCTTCATCAACGGCAGCCTGTCGTGGTTCGAGCCCGTGCCGCCGACGGTGCTGTCCAACACGCCCACCGTGGCCATGGTGGACCTGCAGCTGTACAACGAGGGCCCCGCGGGGAAGGCGCCCCCCGTCCCCAAGGCCATCGGCGTCACCCTGCCCGCGCCCAACGTGGCCGGCGAGGCGGTGCGCGGCCGCCTCAGCGCCATGACGAACGCGTCGCTGTGGTCCGACCACGTCGTCGTGTACAACCTGCACGCTTACGACGGCACCGGCGTCCTGCAGGTCGTGTTCCCCGCCACCAGCGATGGCGGCGATGACGGCGGCGACCTGGAGGTGTTGGCGACGGTCTGCTTGCGCCACCCCGCGCTTTCGGGCTTGTTGTGACTGTGCTGCGTCCGCCTGGTGCAGATAGAGGCGGTGGTGGTGCTGCAGGAGAAGTGGCCCCGCGACGAGGCCTTCTGCTCCACGTCGGCCGTGCCGCTCAAGCGCTCGCGGCGCCAGGACGTCTCCATCGCGGTGCCGGTGCGCTCCCGGCTCAACACCATCATGCACTTGGGCATCGGCCTCACCAACGCGTCCCTCCAGGTGGGCAGTGGCGTGTTCACGTGCACGTTTTGAGTGGCCCAATACACGCGCCGTGTCCTCAGGCCGCCGCGGCGAAGGGCATGTCG